TTCATTATATTGGTTCTTATTCTTTCTTATCACATTGCCTAAAATACACACACTTGCAGTTTTGGAACTTGGTACATTATTTTCTTAGGTGGTGTTTGGCAAGTTGGGTTGGGGCTAAAATAGCCACAAAAGACAAAACAGGCTATTTTAGTCACAACAAACAAAACATCACATCCAACCCATAATCATTACACTCTTCTCTCACAAAAAAAATCAAAAAAGCCAAAAAGCCCTTCCCAAACCAAACTTTTTAGCTCAGGCTAAAATAGCCAAAAAAGCCAAAAAGCCAAAAAGCCAACCCACTTCCCAAACGGAGGCTTAGTGTGTTTCTAATCCATAACCTCATTACTATAGCTTAATTAAGGCTTAGGAATGCTTAAGATGCAATGAGGATGCCAAAGCATGCCTTGGAACACTCAGGCAAAATTTTTGAAAATAAAGTCCACGCTCGAGCGTAGCTTTCCTTGCTCGAGCGGACATGCAAAATGTGAATGGTTGCTCGAGCGCACATTCCTTCGCTCGAGCGATCTGTAAAAGACATGAAACTTCTGGGAGCTTTCAATTCACGCTCGAACGGACTTTTGGTCGCTCGAGCGGAGTGGTCGCACTCAGAGTGGTCGCTCGAGCGTGAACTCTCACGCTCGAGCATAGATGCAAATTCTAGAATTTCTAGATTGCACCTTCAAGCTCAAAACTCGAATTCCAACCTTCAAAACACATCTCTTGGGCTCCAAAACTTGAGATAACATAGTAAACTTGTAAAACATGATGAATTAAGAATTATTTCATAAAATCATGGCCCAAGAGTTTGTTAAAAACTCGTAATTTCAACTTAAAACATGATGAATGTTCATGAACACAACATGTATGAATTTTTCTTGTATCAAACCTCTCAAAACATGATTAAACACCACAAAACAACTTGAAACTTGATGATTTCCCTAAATGAAGATGAATTTCAAACATGCAAGAGAGGATTCATGGAAATCATGCTCAATTGGTTAGAAAATGCACATGCATGCATGAATTGCAACTCAAATCTTTATTCTAAGCTCAATATACATATCAAACTCATAATCTTGAAGAAATTTCATGTTAAATGACTTAGTTACACAATCTAGAGGTTGTAATCTTACCTAGAGGCTTGAATTACTCTTGTTCTAGCACAATCTTGGTGAATTCAACACAAAACCTCCAATTTCTCCTTAATCTCTACCTTTCTCTCTCTAAAATTGCATTCTCTCTCTCTCTAAGATGAATTATCAGATTTTTCCACTCAAGGGATAAAAGAAAATGAGCTCAAAATGAGCTTATATCTCATATATATGTTTATGGTGCTAAAACACATTAAATAGAATATTAGGCTAACCAAACATGACTTAATTAATCATTCTGAATCAATTTTTAATAAACACATGCCATATGATTCTAAAAATTCCAAATAACATGTTGACATAATCAATTTTGGTTTCGGATGCCGATAAGGCTTTCGATTTACAAATTAAAGTGGAATTCCAAATAGATATTTCTATAAGTAACAGATAGAAAGCCAAAATCATACAAAGTGCAGAATAAACACATAATTTATTTTAATCCTCTCATTAACATCATTAAATACGGATTAGTGGCTAATTACGGATAGGGGTTGTTACAATATATACATAAACCAAGTCTCTATTCCTTTCTTTTCTCTTTCTATATTCTCTCTCTCTCTATATATATATATGTCTATGAATTTTGATTCACATTGCAAATCTTTGATTAGGGCTTTCACACACACACACACACACACACTCTCTCTCTATCTATCTATCTATCTATATACATAAAGAAGAATGATTGATGTTTGTGTTGATGTTTCGAGAAGAATTGGCTAAAAGATTAGTCCAACATACAATTTGTACTTAGAAACGTAAGAAACTAGGTATGACAGTGAATGATATCTTTGTTATCTGTCTCTTCTTCTACAATTCAACATTCTCAAACTGTCATAACTGTTTGTGTGTATATTCTTTCTTGACTTTAGTGTACTTAAAAATGAATATAGAGTTGAATGACAAATATATTGGTGACCATGTCTCTGTTTTCTATACAGACGATATATACATTTGTCAGACACATATTTGCATCATTTGTTGAATTACTTCCCTTATAAAGGAAAGAATTAAAGGGTTGACAAGAAACTATTATAGTTTTTTTCTTCTCTTTCATCTTTGTATAATAAACAGAGAAATTTCCAAAACACAAAGAAAATTAAAGAAATTTCTCTGAGTTAAAATTTCTTTGAATTTCTCTGAGTTGGGCTAAAATTTCTCTAAATTTGAGCCAAAATTTTGATTGATTTTCTTTGGCATCTAAATTTTCCCTGATCCATCAAATTATGTTGCTTGTTTGATTTTTACTGGTTAGTTGTTCCTTGAGCTGAATTTTCTCTGGCATTTGAATTTTCCTTGAAAAAATTAAACTCTCACTAATTTAGGTTACTTGTTTGATTCCACTAATTAATTGTCTCCTTGTGTGTAATTTTTCTTTTGAGATGAATTTTCTTTGGCACTAAAATATTCCCTTTAGATTAATTTTCTTTGAACACATTGGACCCTTTTTTCTTTATGTGCCTTGCTTGATTTTCTATAACTAATTGTCTCTTTGATTTTCTTTGGCATTTAAATTTTCCTTGCCCACATTAAGCGTCCACTAATTTGTGTTGCTTATTTGATTTTTACTAGATCCCTAACTTTGAATTTTATTTTTAATCTTTTAGGATGTGTACTGTTTGCTATTTTTTAAATTATAATTAGATTTTGCATTTTAAGTTCTTTGATAAACCTAGCATGGTGTTTTCTTATAAAAATTATAGAAAAATTGGTTTATGAGTAGCTTAATTTTCTTTAATTTGTTCAAAATATAGAGAAAATTGTGAGCAAATTAGACAAAATTAGTTAAAACATAAAGAAATTTGTGAGTAAATCAGTGAAATTTCAAACTAGAGAAATTTCAGACAAAGGTCTTTGTGTTTCGAAATTTCTTTGCTTCGAAAATTCTCTGAAAATTTCTCTGGATTGAAATTTCTTTGTAAAAATTTAAGGGACCACAACTACTATAAAAATATTTCATGTCCTTTACGTTATAAAATCTTAATACGAAAGACCTTAAAAAAAATTTCCCTTGAAAAAATATACTTATTGGTTTTTTTTTTTTTTTTCAATGACAAAAATAATAAAATAAAAATTTTAGAGTTATTGAGTAGCCTTAATTTTTTCCATACACGATAAACATTAACAGTTTGGACCATATATATGAACTCGTGAGATACTCAATCCTAATTGTTTTTTATATTTATTTATATAATAAATATTTAATTCTGTGGCCGATTTATGTATTTCTAAAAATGAAATTTACTAACAAGTTTGTGTCTTATTATATTTACGTATATTTGTTGGTTAGGCTTGTTTGGTAACACCATAAATAAACTGTTTATTCATTTATTTTGAGTATATCACCTCTATTTTTATATACATTTTTTTCTTAATGAATAAATAAGCCAGCTTATAAATCATATAAAAAAAAAACCCGCAAACGATTAAGGCCTATTTTGACAACAAAATTAAAAGCTTTTTTTTTTTTTTAAATATATATTTAATTTTTAAACCATTTTAGGTCATATATTTTTTTAAAAAATAAAAAATAAAAAATAAAAAACAAAAAAAATCAACTTCTAACTTATTTCTCAAAATAGACTTAAGCGCATTTCCAACAATTTTTTTATTAAATTTGAGTGAAAATTTGAGAAAAAACTCTTTTTGGATATCAAATGCTCCAATTGAGGGTTTTGCGCGCTTGTCAAACCACTGGTCAACCGAGCAAACGTTCAGCCAGTGCAAATTTTTTATAATTTTTCTTCTTGAGGTGGTCATCTGGGGGTCAACCGGGCATACAATCGGGAGGACGACTGGGCAGTCAACCGATCAATGTAATTTTTTCACATATTTTTACCTTGAGGTGGTCATTCGAGAGGACATTCAGGGAAATATCCAATGGTGAAAATCCAAAGGTAATAAATAATGATTTGATGAAAGACACATTGATCCTCAGTTTAATGAAAGAAAAGTAAAATTTTGAATTTAATACTGATTTGATGAAATTGTTAGAATTGAAAAATAAATCATTTTTTTATCAAATTTAAATTTAATAATAAATTTAATACAGAATTGGAGATGATCTAAGACAAAAACTCACTTTGATAAAAAATGATAATATTCAGTGTCTTTGGTTTCAGTTTTTTAAATTGAGTTTTTTGAAAATTGAATTTTTTGTTTTTCGTAAATATTTTTTAAATTTTAAGCAAGTTTTTTACATTTTTAGATGCACTTTACTTAAATGTATCCAAATAGTAAAATATTTGTGAAAAAATAATTTTTTAAAATTAATAAATACATAAAAATATGAAAAATATATTGAATTTTTATATATTTTTATATTTTTTTGGTATTTAGTGTATTTTTAAAGATTTTTTTTATAAATATTATATTTTTTAAGTGTATTTATGTTAAGTGTGTTTAAAAATTAAAAAAAAAAATTATTTAAAATATTAAAAAAATTTTATTAAAAACATTAAAATATAGAAAATAAAAAAAGAAATTTTTTTAAAAATTATTTCCTGAAAACCAATCAAAGTGATTAATAGTCAAATTTACGGCGTTGATTTTGTGTGAACTCTCATGGATGGTAGATCTAGCTGTGACAGATGGCGCAGCGACAGGCACACGGTTTCTAGCATCTAGGACGGAGTTTTGTCTGACAAACGATTAAATTTTTTTGAAATCAACAAAAAAAACATTTTTTAATTAATCTCTGTTTTTATTATTTTAAATTTATTTATTTTTTATTATAATGTTCTGATAATAAGAAAACAAATAAAAATCCAATCAAATATATATATATATTAAAAAATAAAAATATTTTATTAAATTAAATTAATTTAATAAGTTCATAACAAAGCAGGATCTATTGTTTCCAACCGCTTAAGCGTAGACTTGAAGTTCAAACGACCGAGATCGTATCACTTTCCTTCATTTTCCCACGGTTTCTCTCTCATTTTCTCTCACTTTCTGGCCCCGGCAAATTCCGACGAACGGTCTCCAGCAAGAGAAGGTTAGTTCTGTTCTTCACTTCGCGGCTTTACTCGCTTGAAATCGGTTGTTTTTGCGTCCTTGAAATGTCTCTTGCTCTTTGCACTTGTTTGTGGTTTGTTTACTGAAATCGAAGCTGCGAATTTTTGTGTTTAGTTGTTAAAATTTCAGCTTAATGCGTTCAGATCTGGTATAGATACTATTGTCGTACTCAAGATACTGTAATGGCGGCTCTGATAATTTTAGCTTGAAATTAGGCTTTGAATCTGTAGAAAAACTGCTACGACGGAGTTGTGGAAGTGCAAATTATAGATCAAATCGAGTGAGAAAATTGGGCTTTGGAAGTACCGGTAAAGTGATATTACCTTGTTTACAGCTCTTTTCAAATTTTTTATTTGTTTGTTTGTTTGTTTTTGGAGCTCTATTTGTTTAACATTTGCTGTACAGTACTTCTGCTTTTTATTTTTATTTTTAAATTTTTTTATTTGTAGTGAAAGCGAATTTTGAGATCTGAAATTGGAGTGCGTCGTCCAAGTTTCATAGGAGGTTCACCTGATTTTGAGTGATCCAACTTGTATTTTGTAATCAATGATTGTTCTTCCATATTTTTAGGTCTTCTTGTTCAGTTTTATTATGCGTATATTACAATTAAAATAAGCCTAACCAAAATATCAAGTATGTGCTTACCATGAAATCATGAAAATTGATTTTTCTGTTCAAAACTTGGGGGCTTGAATGTGTTTATGGAGTTTATTATTTTGTGTCCAGCTAGCTACTGGCCTTTTGAGCTGCCATTTTTATTGGAATAGGGTTGCCGTTGCCGCCCTTAAATTGCTCAGTATTGGGAATTTCGGATCATTTCAATTCTTTTAATTTTTTTTTTTGTTGGTTTCTTTCAAGAATAGGGACTAATCATGTTTTGGTAACATATTTGGGTACCATACGACGTGAGATGAAATGTAGACAAAAGGTGCTCGGATTGAGTATCTGTCCAAGTCAGCCTAAGGTGTAGAGAGATTTATCCAAGCCTGAGCCCGACACCGAGCCCACATTTTATCTCACTTCATATATGTTACCAAAATGCAATCAATCCCTATCCCCTGACAACAACCAAAAAAGAAAAAGAAAAAAAGAGCATTGAAATGATCTCAATACTATGCTGTTTAATGGGATAGCAATGCCCCATGAGGGAAGCAGCAACCCCCTTCACCCATTTTTATAGATGCATGTAGAGTGTGTTTGGATGTCCTGTGGAACTAAATGCTTCTATTGTCATTCACAATCGCATAGCAATTAAATGTCTAGATCCTTCTTCATGAATAGAGCTGTTAAGGAAAATAATAATCAAGAATCAAGAGAACTGATAATTAGTTAGTTATTTGCTTAATTACTCCTCCTACTCCCCCCCCCCCTCTTATATTTGCAAAGAACTTCAATTACAAAGAAATAAATAGGAATTTTCTTAAAAAATGAAGGGATTCAAAATTTTCAGACATCCAAACATGTGCATACTAATTGTTTTAATTTTCTAATCCTTTACCATTAAAGGACAGATTTGCAGTTTATTTCCAGCATTATCTGATGAATTCATTGATCCTATAGATTAATGATAAAGTTCGTGAGTCATGACCATTTATTGATGTACTTAAGATCATAAAGTTGAGTTAAAAGAAGAAAAAAAAAGGAGAGGAAGGAAACATGTGATAGAACAGCAGCAAATGCATTGAGTGGTTTAACCTCTAGCCTCGTAGCCAGCCGTTTTTGTCAAAAGATAACAGGATGATATGTATGTCATTGCCTCTGTCCTGGGAAAACATGAGGTTGAGGCATAATTATACTGTGATTGACTTGTACGATACACAAACATAAATATTTTTTTTCAACGTCTCTGAAATGATTCTATCAGAGACTACTTGCTTGCGTCCAACTCTATTTTTGTTTATGGTCTGCTTCCTTATAGTGAAATGAAATCTGAAGTGTTTTTCTTTAGGTGATTTTGTCTTTTGATATGTGACATTTTTTTGTACACATGCTTATGTAGAAAATTACTTATTTTTTTCCTCTCTTACCTTTTGGTACAGGATTGGAACTTTACAGAGAAGTTTGAAGGGTGGTTGGTTTGGATCTGAGGGCTCAGTCATATGGTCCTCATCTCAGACGCATTGTGAATAATTTTTCATTTAGTATTCACATTTGATGCAGAACTTTTGGATAATCTATCTGTAAAGCCATGCCAGAAAACATAGTAGTTAACCCTTACAGACAGCAGGCTCAGTATTGGAAGATCTGAATTAATGTTTCACGATTTAGGATCTTGTTTGTTTCGTGCTGAGGAAGTTCAACTATATGTTATTCATCATTCCTCACCAGTGCGCTGACTCCGTGGAATCGTCTCAGGATGATGGTTGGTGATCTATTGGTTCTTCACAAGTTCAATTACTATGGAGTTCAGTCCTAAAACCATCAATACATATTGGTTTTGGGCAAAAATGAAGAAATGGTATGTAGGCATTTTAATTGCATCCTTGTTTATGTTGCTCATTCTAATGTACGGAGTCATGAAAAATCCTGTTGGTGAAAATTATCTGTCAAATCCCTTCTACAATACAACAAATCCTCTTGAGTGGATTAATTCTGTAGCTCCACCTGTAGTTCAGATTCCAGAGACTGGTTCTAAAGTGGTTTCTGCCAATACCATAATCTCCAGTCTCTTTCAACCGAGGAACATCTCCATTGAAGAGCAGCAAACTATGCAAACATGGAACCATCTGAAACACTTAATAGGCAATGCTCAGGTTTTACCTAATGCAGTAGAGGCAATTAAGGAAGCTGGACTTGCATGGAATAGCCTTATGGCATCAGTTGAAGAGGAAAGACTTGCCTATGGAAATGAAAGTTCCCATCGGAGAGGAAAAGACAAACAATGTCCTCATTTTCTAAGTAAAATGAATGCCACAGGGCTTGATGATGGTGGTTTTAAGTTGCAGGTTCCTTGTGGACTGACTCAGGGTTCTTCCATTACTATTATTGGCATTCCAAATGGTCTTCTTGGTAATTTTCGAATTGACCTAACTGGGGAACCACTTCCAGGAGAGCCTGATCCGCCCATTATTTTGCATTACAATGTTAGGCTTCATGGTGATAAGATAACTGAGGACCCTGTAATTGTACAAAATACATGGACTGTTGCTCATGATTGGGGTGAAGAGGAGCGTTGTCCATTACCTGACCCTGGGAAGGTTAAGAAAGGTAAAGTTACCTAGAAAATTTTTCCATCACATTTTCCATTTATTGGGTGAGGATGTATCTATCGTGATTACTTCTTAACTGGAGATGCAGTTGCTGTATTCATGCTTGTGATATACTTCCAATTAAGGTCACGATTCATTCTCTTTCATCCAATGTTGTTGTTTTTGCCATATGTGTGTTACTTGTATGAAAAACTTGGGTATTGCGGTCCGTTTGGCAGCCAATTTTTTGGCTAAAAATCTGAAAAAGCCAAAATGTCATCTCATACACATCAAGTAATCACTTTTTCCCTCACAACTATCTATTCAACTAAAAAAACCATTCCAAACACACTAAGGCCTAGTTTGGAAAGACTAAATAAGTGCACTTTTTGACTTTTTTTGTATTATGTGTAGAAAAAGTAGAGAGGGGATGTTGATTGATGTGACCCAAAAAAGATAAAAAGATGAAATAAGTGCACTTTTGGCTAAACTAAAAAAGTGCACTTATTTCATCTTTTTATCTTTTTTGGGTCACATCAATCAACATCTCCTCTCTACTTTTTCTACACATAATACAAGAAAAGTAAAAAAAGTGCACTTATTTAGTCTTCCCAAACTTGGCCTAACTTTTTTCACCTCATAAAAAAAACCAAAAAGCCACTAAAAGCCAAGTTGCCAAACGGGCACAGAGTGTGCCCATTCAGATTGAACTCAGTAGTTTGAAACATGATGGCTGACATTCTCTTGTACATATGATATTGTTAGTGGTATTTGAAATTGCATTCAGTGTGTTTAGTTTGAGTTTTTTGAATTAAGTTTTTTGAAAATTGTATTTTAGTTTTCGTGTTTTTAGTGAATGTTTTTTAAATTTTAAACATTTTTTTTTTTTACTTTTTAGATGCACCTTACTTAGATGTATCTAAAAAGCAAAAAAATTGTGAAAAAATATTTTAAAAAATTAATAAATACATAAAAATACAAACAATGTACTGAATACTCGTATTTTTTTTTTGTATTTTGGGTATTTAGTGAACTTTTAAAAGGTTTTCTTCACAAATTTTTTACTTATTAGATACATCTAAGTTAGGTATGTCTAAAAATTTAAAAATTGCTTAAAATATTAAAAAAATCAGTAAAAACAAAAAAACACGGAAAATAAGAAAGTAGAATTTTCTGAAAAGTATTTTTTGAAAAGTGAAACCAAGCATTGCGTTTTTTTGGTTTTTCATAACAAAGCTAGTTTTGTATCAGCTACAAAGCATTTTGAATGCATTGGTACGCATCATTAATCATTTGCATATAAATGTGAAAGACATTTTCTAGTTGAATTATCATATATGTTTCTCTTATCAGTTTTTGCGTAGGTCATAGTCATATAGAACAGAAGGGTTCTGTATGAATTGATACTGACTTTACAATTGCTTGTCATTTTACATCTTTGTGTCCCTTTAACAGTGTATCATGTACTGTGTTCCATTTTGATAACTCTGTTTAGTTGTATTTGTCAGTGGATGAGTTGGATCAGTGCAACAAGATTGTAGGTAAAGATGATTTGGCAGCTAGTAGGCGCTTCAATGGTTCAAGAAAGTTTTCAATTGTCCCAGAAGGATCTAAGACAAGAACATATTTCCCTTTTAAGCAAGGTCATCTTTCTGTTGCAACGTTTAGAGTGGGAACAGAAGGAATCCAGATGACAGTTGATGGAAAGCACATAACATCCTTTGCTTTTCGTGAAGTAATTTCTCTCTTTTCTTAGTTGAGTTGCTTGTTGAATTTTTCCTAAAAAAGCATCAAAATAAAAATTTTGGGGGGTAATTAATTGCTTTCCTGCCTGGATTTATCTATTCAGACTTTGGAGCCATGGCTGGTTAGTGAAGTAAGGATTTTGGGAGACATAAAGTTAGTGTCTGTCGTGGCCAGTGGTTTACCAACATCAGAGGATTTAGAGCACATAATTGACTTGGAAGCACTCATATCACCACCTCTTCATTCTCGAAGGTCATTGGATCTCTTCATAGGTGTTTTCTCTACAGCAAACAATTTTAAACGTAGGATGGCTGTTCGAAGGACATGGATGCAGTTTCCTGCAGTGCGGTCTGGGGCAGTTGCTGTGCGCTTTTTTGTTGGTTTGGTGAGCATTGCAGTTCCCCGCCCCCCACCACCCCCAATTTTGAGTACAGCAATGGTTATTTAGATTGTTATATTGGTTTTGTTGTAAATTACTAAAAAGTATATTTAGATCAAGAGCACTAGGATGTCATTGCCCAAAAGGGAAATTTTTTTTATGTACTATATGACATTCTTTCAAAGAATTTACAATAAAAAAAATGATCCTAACTGGGTGAAATCCCACAATTTAAAGCAATCTGGTTACGAGGGACAGGACCCCCACTTTGGTTGGTCCTCTGTGGTCTTGAATTTTTGCTTCCAACTAGGATGCAAATAAAATAGGGTGCTTATGGTGCTCATAACTGAAATATGTGAGGTGTTGTGAAAAGTTCCACAGAGGACCTATGGGGATGGCCCTATGGGGGATTTCTTGAACTTAGGACCTCATTTCCTATGCAGGTTCCTTTGCGTTGAGTTTGAGTATTATTTCTGTCTTGATGCAAGCCTGTCGCTGAAGTATTTGTCTGTTTGTATTGCAGCATAAAAACAAGATGGTGAATGAGGAACTCTGGAATGAAGCACAGACATATCGAGACATACAGCTGATGCCGTTTGTTGACTACTACAGCCTTATCACCTGGAAGACTGTAGCTATCTGCATCTTTGGGGTAAGGTACTGTTTTTCCTTGACAAGGAGAATTCTCCGTTTGCCTCAATGTCATTGACCTCATCTCTTGGACAGACTGAGGTCGTCTCCGCAAAGTTTGTCATGAAAACAGATGACGATGCATTTGTTCGCGTGGATGAAGTGCTCGCTTCTTTAAACAGGATAAATGTGACTCATGGGTTGCTTTATGGTCTCATCAACTCGGATTCCAAACCTCATCGGAATCCTGAAAGCAAGTGGTATATTAGTAATGAGGTAACTATTTTCTCAATTGCACTTCAACATTCTCAATTCTGTTTGCTTGGAAAGGTCAAACTTCAAAGTAGAGGATAAACTCTATGAATGCAGTTTTATTGACTGTTATTTTGGCCAGAACCACGGTAACAACTATGGGGTTAGGAAAATTGTTGCAACCTATAATATTGAAATAAGGAAAAGAGATCACGAAAAATCATCATTACATGAATGCAATGTCAGAAAAAGATACTTGGAATTTCACAGGAATTTTGTGAATGATTTATAGTTTTTTGCTTTAGTCTAGTATGCGTGACCCATTCATTTGAGAATTATTGTATTTATACTTTAATTTTTGCGTTTGGCTGACCTGTACCATGAGACAATACAAAATTAGCCATCAAGTTTGAGCTTTTTTTTTGAAAATTCCCTCCTGAGGTGCAATTAACTTGGGAATTTAGGGTTAATTTTAATTTTAATTTTTTATTTATTTTTTAAAAAGCATGAAACTATTGTTCTAAGTTGTGATTACTGTTCATATTCCCTATAGTTCATTAGAAAGTTTAGCTTGACAACCTAAGGTAAACATTACGGGCCAGAGGCAAAGAAACAGAGTCAAAACTTGAACACCTTGAGCCTGGAAGAAGAAAATGACCCTTTTTATGAAGTTGATAAATTGTGATCTAGCCAAGCTTGCTTTATCACAAAACCTAAAAGACTAACAGCTACTTTCGTCTTCTTGTAGTAGAACACTAAGCAGAATTATTCCTTGTTAAAACTTAGTCGAAAAAGGGCATTCCGGGGGCTCAATGATTGTTTACCTGTGTTGCTGATAGTGATTTCCTCACAAGTTCTTTCAAAGTGAGGTGTACCTTAGGAAGATGAGAAATAGAAACTAATCAATGATAAGAACTAAAATAAACTAGGATTTATATTTGAAGGGTGGTATTTATAGGACTTGGGAGGGAGGAGTTAATTTATATATATATATATATATATATAAATAAAAT